CAATCCCATAAACCTGGTCCCCTTCCTTCTCTTTCTGTTTTCAACTGACCTCTATTTTAAACACAGATCTGTGTCTCGTTCCATGCTCCTGAACAGCAGAGCTGACTGTGGACCATTGAAATCAACGGGGCATGCCTTCCTCATCTGACTTTGCCATTCAGGGCATCAGAAGAGAGCAGTTGCCCGCATTCTCCACCAATTGTTGGAAATAACTCAAAGCCAACAAAAAAGAACTTGGATCATTGAAAACAAAGAGGATTTATTAAAAAGAAATATTAGACAGTTTACAAAGCACTGGTGGTCTTTAGAACCTAAAGAAACAGGTTCAAATCTAAAGCCACACCTTTAGAACCTCAAAACATACTTTATATACAGTTTCATCTCATCACCCAAGTTCCCTCCTTCTTGAGACTCATTCCCTCCCAAGTTCAAACTCATTGGATTTGCCCTCAGGTGTTGCAGCTAATCCTAGGATGTCTCCAGGGAGAATTGTCTCCTTCTGTCATGTTCTCATCTGTACCGCTCGGTACCTCTTACTTTGGCTGCCCATATGGCATCGTTAAGGAATGTAGCATCCCCTCATCAGGGCCTCTTTCTAAGCTCATCATATACTACCATTTTTCCAAAGAGATTATAACACCCCCCCAAACATCATCATAATATAAAAGGCATTTACATAAGATAAAAATATAAAAAGGCTTAACAATGGAGCATATCAAAAGTATAAAAGCAAAGCATGTATATACAGGGAGATATATTTCATTTGATAACAGATTAATAGAATTGGAAGGGATCCCACAAGGTCATCTAGTCCAACCCCCATTTGTGAAACCTTTAAGCGTCTTATAAACTATTTTATTTTTGAATTTACTTATTTCTAACAAGATGAGCAGGCTGAGGCCAAGGAAAGTGTCAAACACATCATCAGTCTCCAGCCCCTAGTCCTTTGTGCCTACTTTGAATGCCTGTTGACTTTTATCTACCACCAATTTGCTTTGACCCTTATTTCAGATTCTTGTAGAGAGTGTTAGCATACAATAAACCTATATTCTTTTGGACTTCCTGGACTCCTGATTTCCTAAGCTTGACATTAGCATTATCAGATTCACAAATTCTAAATAGTTAACTAGTATCACTTCACTCACACTGCCAGATCCCATTCTAATCTTTAATTAGATTGCCATTTTCTTTCCTAAAAAGCTATATCTCTAGGTTAGCTCTTCTAACTTAATGTCCCCATTTTGATAAGAATGAAAGTTAGGACCCAGGAGTTGTTGATCAAAATGTAAGCCTGCACTGAAATCTAGCCAGGTAAAGACAGTTATTTTTAGGTGGTCTCTGGCATCTTTGTGGACAGCTAAGTTCTGGTGTGTAGCTACCAACCAATTAAAAAACCCTCCCCTTTGATTGCAAGTTTGCTGTCTATGCTCAGGTCATTTTCATTAAGCAACAGAATAAAGAAAAGATAACTTTTGATGACTACCCTGTTTCTCCAACAATACGGCCTCCCCCAATAGGAAGTCCCAGCATGTTTTATAAGCATGAAATGAAATTAAGCCCCTCCCCCCAAATTAAGGCCTATATTAAAACATGCGAAATGGGGGGGAATGGTGTGGGGGCTTGCCGTTACGAAGTACTTTTGTTGCACACCCGGATATGGTGCTGTCTGCGTTGACCCTGATACAAAGTGCCCCACCAACACTGAGGTCAACATCCAAGCCCCACCCACCCACCCAAAGATGCAAGGGGGGGAATTAAGTCACCCCCCCAAAAAGACAGCCTAGCCATTTTTTCGGGGCAAAAAAAAAAAAAAAAGACCCGGCCTTATTATATGAGAAACACGGTATATCTTTGTCATTTTTTTCCTTGTCAGTATATAAGAAATTATGAGCTGGGATAGACATAATAACAAGTCAGCCAATGGGAACTGTTTGGTGATGAAGAAACAGCACCTGTTGTGAGCCATGCTACATGGCTTGGAGACTGGGCGTGGCTTAGGGTAACTGGTCTGTATAAATATAGAGCTTCTGTGACTCTGGTAGTTCTGGTTGCTTCTGCTTCTTGTTACCACATTGCAAGAGCTTCATGGGTATTGTATACATGCATCATGTTTTATATTATTGTATATAAACAAGTTTCTTCTATAAATGAATCCTGCTGAATTATTTACTTGTGTGCTGGTTGGATTGCTGCAAACTCTGACATTCTTTTTGCACACTATTATTAGTGTCTGGTGTTAAGTTCTCATTTTTTTGTATTTTAACTTTGGAAATAAAATTTTAACAATGGGGCGGGGGAAAATCACTTTTGTCCCTTTAAAGTTTAGCTGGTATGGGAGTATACGAAGCACAGATTGCAAATGCAAGTCGGGACCTCCCTTTTCATTATTTGCAACAACATCCACAGCTTAATCTCCACTATTTGGAAGCACCTTCAGTTGATAATAGAGCTACTACCATAACCAGATTAGTGAAGTTAGCAGGTGATGTTTATATTACAGCTTAAACAACAGAACATAGGTATACACAGATTTCATGTTCCCTGCTACAATAACATGGTCATTGCTAATCACCTTTGAAAATAAAAATAACCCTTCTTCCTTACGCCAACCGTAAGAAGAAATAGTTGGAACAGTTTTATTCTTGACCCGATTTCTAGGATCCATCTTGTTCTCTATACATTCGCTCGCTCGCCCTCGCTCACTTCCTCTCCTCTGCCTGCTTCTTCCTTCACCCCGCTCCTTTCTAATTCTCCTCCATTGTTCCAAGGAACTTTCCCCCTTTGTCAGGCTGTCTCTGCCCGACAGCTTTGCATTCTGAGGCCAACACAACCGCCACCCGCCACCCTCAGCTTGCCAGGGAGCAGAAGGGGGGGTTAGGGGGCGAGGGGGGGGAAGGGGTTCTCTCCTGCAAGGGTAGTTACCACAGTTTCCAACTCGATTCTCCAACACGCGACGGAGTTCCCTCCAAACTTTCACCTCTCAGGCCTTTTCTAAAACCTGATCCTCCCCCTCCCCTTCGTCTTCGCCCCCGCAGTCGCCTTTGTTGCTGGCCTGTTCTCGGTATGCCGAACGGAGCAAAGCCGTTTGTTGCGTTTGTCGGATGGTTAGACAATCCAAGAGTTTGACCGAAAACCGTTACATTCCGGAATCATTGTTAGGATTTCTTGCTCGCTCGCTCTCTTTTGTCTGTGACAACTATATGTCTCAGCATAGTTATGGTCTCAGGGTGGATTCTGCTTAGGGTCTGGAGTCAATTGAATTGTGTCGAAGGCTTCTTTGTTAGTGGAACGAGAGGCTCCCCAGAACTAACAAACCTGCTGGCTTGCCTATAAAATAAAGCGTCGATAAACTAAAACGAAAATGTGCTTCTTCGAAGGAAATCTGCTCCGAAAGAGCGATCTTCGTGCTAGACGAAGATGGAAGGAAAAAAAGTAAAAGAAAGGCGATTCCCTGCCACACCTGAAGCTTAGCCAAGCAGCTGTTTTAACAGAGCAATAAAAAAACAAATCATGATTAGCCACCTCCAAGCTTAATGGTTTTAGATGGGGATCCTCTACCCCAGGAAATACATAAAAGGATTGTTATTTGTGCATGTGTTCGTGCAACTGTTTTTTGATGACATTCTCACTGACAGAAAGTGTTTGATTTATGAGTTTAGGAAGAATTGCATCCAGCCCTCCCAGCTGTTACTCACCCAGTTCTGTACCACCCCTCTTGGGTGGGTTGCAAAACAGGGAAGCAATCTGCCACCAAAATAAACACACCAGGAGCAGGACTAGCAAATGCGTCCCCTAAAGCTTGAACCACTTTTTTTCCCTCTAAATCCTTACAAAGAGAAAAGGAGAGATTGGGACATACATACCCAGAAAACAAATCACATCTGCTATCACAGGCTGCTAGTTTGTAGGACAAAAGAACACATACCAACATTTAACCTGGACTAGAGGACACACACACACACACACACACACAACCATCAATTAACAGCACTTTTAGATGGGCCTGTTCATTTTTTGTGTTTTGGTGGGGTGGCTAAAAAATCACTTGTTAACCTAGTTCAGAACGAGCTTTAGTGAGAATGCCTTTTCTCCACCTTCAGCATGAGCTTTTGTTCTTTAAGCCTAATTTTTAACCTATAGTTTATATGACTTGCACAGTTAATAACTAGCTTTTGCCAAGTGGCTTGTTTGATTTCCTCTCTTTTAGATGTTTCTTGGGACCTTTGGACTATTGGGAAAACCATCAGAAATGTATATTTGTTGGTTCCCTGCACCAATGTTCCCTTCAAATATATGGTTTGTAAAAAATAAAGTTACTGTATAAATTTTGATCTGTTTGCATAAATGCAGCATCCTCCTTGGAGCATTTGCTTTTTCCTTTTGCAAAATATTATTTCATATATACATGTCTGAGACAAACTCAATACTTTTAATAGCACCAAAGCAGTGTTTCCATATTTTTACTTCAATATGTGATATGTATTAAATGGGGAAAATGTTTTTAATAAATGGCAAAGATTTTCTAAGTTGTTGGGAAGAATTGTAACACTGCATTTTGGGGGATGGGGAGGAAAGGAAGGTAAACAATTTCAGTAGCTTCTTCCAATGTCTTTCCCACTAAAAAGGAGAGAGGTCTGTGACCAAATTGTTTGGCATTGTTTCAGGCCAAAAGAGGGGAAGGGGTAACTCCTTGTGCTATTCATGAAGAGAGAGATGAAAGGGTTCTTGTAAACAATTTATTCTACCCAAAATACTTATAATGCACCCTAATGTAATACAAAAATAAAAAAGATACAAATTTGATATGATCACTTTCTCACAGGCCATATATGTTGCTTTCATAGAAGGACCTAAAATGTGGCTAGGCTCAACTGAATGCAACATAGTTCTCCAACACATCAGATGGGGCAACCTAAAATGCTGAGAAAGGGCGGGAATCAAACAAAGGTGGAGAGAGAAGAAAAAGATATAACCCTTGGCACATAAAGGTCTGTGCTTTCTCAATAATTCAGGTGCTGCAAGTCAATTGTGGTGAATGTATCTGTGAAAAAATCAAAGTTGTCAGCTGAAATATCTACAGGACTGTCGAGGGATGGTGGCAAACTGGGGGAGACGTCAGAAAGCTGTATGCAGGAATCTGCAGAGAAAACGCTGAAGTCCTGCAAAGAAGAGGCTTCCAGGGCCTCCGGACTGTCATTGTTCAGGGCAGCTGCACAGTTCTGGCCCATTGTTGAGAGGCAATTGGGAACAGTGGGTGACTGGTGCTGAAAATGTTTGAGATTTTTCTCATTGCTAGTTAAAGTCAAACCTGGAAAAGTTTGGGACTCTCTGTTGTGGAGGCTTGGAGGCACCTGATCCAGGGCATTCTGTTGAAAAGGGTACCTTTCCCTGTCCAAAAGAGCCCCTGAGACTTCGTTGAGGGCTTGCTCAAAAAGAGATTTCTCCTTTTCGGTTTTCTCGGGGTCCCCCAAACCTTTGCATTTCCCTTTGCTATTCTGATTCTCCTTGCACTGGGTCTGTCTCTTGTGCTTCATTCGCCTGTTTTGAAACCAGACTTTGACTTGCCTCTCTGTCAGATCTAGGAGAGCAGCGATCTCCACCCTCCTTGGTCTACACAGGTACTTGTTGAAATGAAATTCCTTCTCCAGCTCCAAAAGTTGCGTGTTGGTATAAGCAGTTCTTAGTCTCCTGGAGCCCCCATTAGCATTTTCAGAGATCTCCAGAGATTCTGTTGAGGAAGAAAACAACCACAGAAGAGACGAGTGCCATGGAATGGGTGGAAATATTGCCCCCAGTTAGACCTTTTGAGGACACCCAAGCCTGTTGAGAAGAGAGTGGTATTGGTGGTGGGAAATTGCTCCCGCTCACTTTCCAGAGCATAAAAACACCTCAACTACAACAAAATGGCCACCCTGCGAATACAGCAAAGCCATTGTGTTGCCCCCTTGCACACCTGCTCTCCAGGGCCCCCTTTTCCTTCAGCTCGAGGAACTGCTTCGTCTCCATCTCCCAAACCTTCCTCTAGCCGAGCTAATGTTCATATTAGTCATACCACAAATTATAATTAATGCATCAGCTGCTTAGCTGAACAAGAGTAATCTGTCACTCTTCATTACTGTCAAGGTTCCCAACTCTAGGACAGCAAGACAAGAGGAGGCCATCTCCAGCTCAAATCACACACTAAACAAGTTTGGGGGAAATAAACTTTCCTTGGGGTGGGGGCAAAGGAGGGTTGGTGTCTCTGATGCTTTTGCCTGTGGATCCTGCCACCAGCTTCCTTCCTCAGGATTCAGTGTCTGAGTTAGGAAGGCAACGCTCCAACAGAGAAGCGAAGGCAGTGGGCAGGATGGGGGAGAACAAACAAATCGGGGGAAAGCCTTAGGAAGCGGAATGGTGCATCAAAGTCTTTAACTGACCTTTGTGACTCAGACAAGCTTGTCCAGGGACGGAGGCTGAGACAGGCGGCAGCAGGGAGTTTTTCTTGGGTGCTTTTTTCTCTTTCATCCATGGGTACTCTGGAGTCTGGAGAGCACCGGCTGACACTGGGCTGTTGCCATTGGGGCTGTGCTTGGGAAGGCTGCTGAGGCTGGAGTGGCTACCCGGTTTCAGGCTGGGGATGGTCTGTTCAAAAGGAGGAGGAGGAATCAGTGTCAAGTACGAAAGCTTCGAGTTCTTGATTGATGAACTTTGAAATGTATCACCGACAGGGAGAAAAGATGTCAGGTGTTCTATATTAACATTCTCCAAATCCTGAGTTCTGATTGGCCCATGTGGGCCACAACCCGATTGGTTAACTAAACAACTGTGATTGGAGCACTAAGAATCTACCGCGATTGGCCGAGCCAATCGCGGGAAATTCAAGGCGCTGCCATTGGCCGCTGAGCCGCCAGCCGGCTGAATAAAGTCAAGCTGCTCGCAGGTCTTGAACCAGACTGTATATTCAATAAAGAGCTGAATGTGCACTTTGAGTCTCGCCTCTCTATGCGAACTGATCTACCTGGGACCGATCTACTGGGTTTAACACTGGTGACGAAGGTGGGATCGTGAGGCGAGGAACCACCAAGCACGTGGCAAATGGCGTGAAACGACCAGCAAGATGGCCAACAGCACCCCGCCACCCGCTCCCTTCAACCCAGCCACCGAGGACTGGGAATCCTACACCAACCGCTTCCAGATGTTCCTGGAATGCAGCAATCTCAAGGATGCCAACGGCCAGAGAAAACGAGCCGTATTCTTGACACACTGCGGGCCTGCAGTGTTCAAGATGGTCAAAGCACTGGCCAAACCCGCCGACGTGAACGAGATGGACTGTGCTGACCTCGAGCCCATCCTGCGCCACCATTATGCCCCTGCCATGCCCATCCTCATCCGAAGGCACGACGTCTACCAACGAGATCAGCGCGAGGGCGAAACCATCGGTGACTTTGTGGCCCAACTGAGGGACCTAGGGGGACTGTGCGGGTTTGCTGAGTTGGACAAGGCCCTACACGACTGAGTCGTCCTCGGGCTCAGAGACCCCGTGTTGCAAAGCCGGCTGATGGCCAAGGGCGACATCTCCCTCGCCGACACCCTCGCTGAGGTGACTGCATCCGAAGCCACCCGCAAGTCGGCGGCCCGGATGAGGCAGGTAAATGCAACGGAGCGACCAGCGACCAACAAAGCAACCCCAGCACCGACAAGGCCCACAGAGACCAGCCACCGAGAAATGACCACCCATCACGGCGACGGCGACTCCCACTCCGACACCGACGATGAGGAAGAAGAGATCCACCGGCTCCAAGCAGAGCGCGATTGATGGGACCGGAGGGGACGTAAGTCGGGGTTCCATTGCACCGGCTGCGGCAGCGATCACCCCCGTTCCGAATGCCATTCTCTCGACACCATTTGCCGGCATTGCGAGAAGCGGGGGCACATCACCAAGGTGTGCCGGAACAAGAGGAACTACAGCCCACAGCGACGAGGCAGCAGCCCCCGACGAGACGGCACCCCCCCCAGAAACCGAGACCGCCAAGCCGAGAGCCGATGGAGCCGCGACAGCCGGAACCAACGCCTCAGCGAAGCCCAGCAACGAGAGGAAACCCACCAGACGGTTGTCATCAGCCATTCGTCGACCATTGACACCTGGAAGGTACACCTGGAGGTAGCCATCGAAGATCAGCCCTACGAGATGGAAGTGGACTCCAGGTCCTACCTCTCCATGGTCTCTTGGCACACAATCAAGCGCCTAGTGCCAACCACCCGCCGTCGCGAACTGGACGACCAAAAGCTGACCCTGAAAGACTACCAGGGAAACCGCATCCCGGTAGCCGGCATCGGACACTTTAAGCTCACTTTCAAAGGCCACACTGAGGTACTGCCACTCACGATCGTAGACAAAGACCGACCCAGCTTACTCGGACTGCAATAGTTTTCCCCGCTGGGAATAGAAGTGACGGGCATCGCATCCACCACACAGACGAAGCAGACTGGGAAATGACGCTCGTGAGGGACTTCCAGGAGGTCTTCGACAACACCCTAGGCAAGTACCAAGGGGCCCCTATCTCTTTCAACCTTAACCCAAACGTTGCCCCAATCCGCCTCAAACCGCGGCGAGTGCCATTCGTGCTCAAACCCGAAATCGATGAGCAGCTAGATAAGCTCATCGCGCAAGGGGTTTTAGAGCCGATTTCCCGCTGGGAAACACCCATAGTCACCCCCATCAAACCGGATAGCTCCATAAGAATCTGCGGTGAATATAAGGCCACCCTCAACCATGCGCTGCAGCAAAGCGCCTACCCCGTCCCAGTAGTACAGCACCTTCTGCACTCACTGGGGGGAGGCCGGGTCTTCGCAAAGCTCAACCTGGCACAAGCCTACCAGCAGCTGCCGGTCGACGCCAAGACAGCCGAGGTGCAGACGATTGTCACACACCGGGGAGCATTCCGATCCAACCGACTCCAGTTTGGAGTCAGCGTTGCACCAGGAGTATTCCAAAGCCTCATGGAAAGGCTCCTCCAGGGAATAAAAGGGGTGGTCCCCTACTTTGATGACGTGCTGGTCACAGCCGACAACAAGAAACAATTGGAAACCCGTTTAAGAGCAGTGCTGAAAAAATTCAAAGACGCCGGCCTTAAAGTCAAAAAGGGGAAATGCCAGCTCTGCACCGAAAGGGTCGAATTCCTGGGGTACCTTCTAGACTGACACGGAATTCACCCCACCGGAAAGAAACTTAGAGCCATTAAGGAAGCCCCCACACCAATGAACAAGGCGGAACTGCAGGCATTCTTGGGACTGATTAACTTTTACAATGTTTTCCTACCCCAAAAGGTGACCGCGGCGGAACCCCTGCATAGGCTGCTGGATAAAACAGCCACCTGGACTTGGGGGAAGTGGGAGGAGAATGCCTTCCAACGAACCAAAGACCTGCTAACATCAGATGCAGTCCTGATCCAGTATAGCGAGACCCTGCCGCTGACGGTGACATGCGACGTGTCGCCTTTTGGCATCGGGGCAGTCCTCAGCCACACCTTACCGGATGGGAAGGAAGCACCCATCGCCTTCTTCTCAAGAACGCTGTCCAAGCCAGAGAGAAATTACAGCCAGCTGGACAAGGAAGCCCTCGCTATCATCGCCGGAGTGAAAAGGTTCCACGAATACCTTTACAGTAGGACCTTTTCAATCATCACAGACCATAAACCTCTACTTGGGATACTGGCAGGGAACAAGGCCACCCCGAACATCCTGTCACCCCGGATGACAAGGTGGTCCGAGTTCCTTGCCGCCTACACCTACGAACTGACACACCGGCCCGGCAAGGACATTTTGCACGCAGACACGCTAAGCTGATCCCCCTACCAGATCTAGATGATGACCCGGCACCCATGACAACAACCCTGCAATAGAGACTCTACCCAGCCCACTCCTAACCGCGCCAGACATTGCCCGAGAAACAAATAAAGACAAACGGCTGGCGCGGGTATTGACCTGGGTAGAGAGGGGGTGGCCGGAAAGCGACGGCAGCGAACAGTTCAAAGCTTTCAGGAACCGGCAAACCGAACTGTTCACACAGAAAGGATGCATACTTTGGGGAGACCAGGTGGTCATACCAGAGACACTACAAAGAAGAGTCCTGGCAATGCTACACGAAGGGCACCCGGGCATAGTCAAGATGAAAGCCCTGGCCAGAAGCTACGCCTGGTGGCCAGGGATGGACAAACAAATTGAGACATGGGTAGCCGGGTGCAACAGATGCCAGGAGACAAGGTCCACCACCCCCGCCACTCCGGTCCTGGAATGGGAAACCCCCAGGGGCCCATGGTCGCGAATACATATAGACTTCGCCGGGCCGACCAAGGGACATACATTTCTCATCACCGTGGACGCCTACTCCAACTGGCTGGAGGTAAGCACCATGAGAACAACAACAGAAGCCGTCATTGACAAGCTTAACAGACTTTTCGCAACGCACGGGTTGCCAGATGTTCTAGTGTTGGACAACGGCCCACAGTTCACAGCCCTGGCATTTGAAAAATACCTGGCCGAACAGGGAATCAGGCACGCGTTAACCTTGACAGCTCACCTGGCGGCGAACGGACGGGCGGAACGAATGGTCCAATACACGAAGAAAACCATCCAAAAAATTGAAACCGGTGAACTACAGGAGAAAATAAACAAAATGCTACTCATACAACACATTACACCAAACACGACCACAAACAAAAGCCCGGCAGAACTACTGATGGGCAGAAAATTAAGATCCCCGCTGGGCCGACTACACCCCACTTACAACCCAGAAAAACCCCCAGACTCATCCAACAGGCACCGAACATTTAACATCGGGGACACAGTCTACGCGAAGAACTTCACGGAAGACCCACTCTGGGTACCGGCACAAATAACCCAGGTAACAGGCCCCCGATCGTACAGACTGCAAACCACCGATGGAAGGAGCTGGAAGCAGCACATCGACCAACTACAGTCAAGACTAGCCACCAACAGCCCCGACACCCCGACAACAACAACTACAGAAACCAGAGGGGGGGGGGAAATGACAACAACCAAGCAGTGGGAAAACAAAGGACCTGAAACGCAAGCAGAACACCCCCAAACGCAAGCAGAACACCCCCCACCTAGGGCAAGCCAACCCCAAGTAATAAACCAGCCATACTCACCAGCAGACCTCGAACCGTTGCGGACGGGAGCTTCACCTGGAAGGAACAGCCAAGCCAGTTCAACCAGCCCAGAAAGACCAGGTGGGAACAGCAGAGACCGCAGCTCGACCAACCCAGGTAGGCCGGGTGGGAGCTGCAGCGACAGGCCCGGCTCACCCTTCCAGGCGGTTCCATCGAAGGGGTTGAGAGCGACGCGGAGCCCGGCCGAACCGGCCGACGATCACACACAGACTGAGCCGTGCAGGTCAACTAGGCAAGTACGGAGCCAAGCCTACCTGCGCGACTATGTCACCACGCTCGTCAGACGAAACCAAGAGGGGAGGGGTGTTCTATATTAACATTCTCCAAATCCTGAGTTCTGATTGGCCCACGCGGGCCACAACCCGATTGGTTAACTAAACAACTGTGATTGGAGCGCTAAGAATCTACTGCAATTGGCTGAGCCAATCGCGGGAAATTCAAGGCTCTGCCATTGGCCGCCGAGCCGCTGGCCGGCTGAATAAAGCCAAGCGGCTCGCAGGTCTTGAACCAGACTGTATATTCAATAAAGAGCTGAATGTGCACTTTGAGTCTCGCCTCTCTATGCGAACCGATCTACCCGGGACCAATCTACCAGGTTTAACATCAGGCACTACTATTAAACAATTGAATTCATGGAGCCAACGTTGAAATTGGACCGAATTGGCTGTCACATGATTGCCTCTGCTGAATGACAATTTGGGTTTTAATCAAAAGAAGCCACTGTCTGATCCAAAAAAGTCGAGAAAGCAAGCCTCATTGGGGCCAGAGGCATGATTTACACTTTTTTTAGGAGGAAGCTTTATCTCCGCTCGCCCGCTCCCATTTTGCCTCCTAATCTGAACTGCTTTCTGGAATGAGCGACTGCTTGTGTGAGTGCCTTTGTCTTTTGCGGTCGCCGCTTGGCCATTCGTTCCTGCCGCCGCTCTGCTCACCCTGTAGGGCTTCTGCCCCGCTTGTCCCCCTCCCATCTTATTGTTTGGCACTGTCAGGCAAGCGCTTCGCACCTCACAAATATTTAAGCACCTCCAATCTGACGCCTTGAGTCATTAATAAAGTAATCTATTAATCTTCAAAGTTTTGACATTGCCGGCTGCGCATCTCAACACCATCAGAAAACTGCACTTGGTCTGCCACCAATCTTAAGGAAAGAAATAATTTCTAAACTTAAGGCAAACATTAGAATGAGGTGGGAGTTCCTACCCCTCCTCAAGACCTGGCATCTTTTGGCATTTCTCCGGGGGGATGGTGGTCCACTTTTCTGAATGGTACACTACAGAGAACAATTGGCGGCCGATCTTGGCATGTATAGTATGGAAGGAATTTGTCCAGGAGCTTCACTTCCCTGGATAGAACAGAAGTCAGTCCGGCGAGGTCATGGGTGTATCTTGAGTTGGCTGGACATAAGTAGATGGTAAAATCAGATGTATATCCAACAGACACTCAAACCATAGACATAGGTTTCACCAAAAAAGTGGTGGATCACAAGAACAATCCAGAATATTAACAAACCCCATTGGAATCAGCTGTCTCATTGTTTTCCCCTTTCAATAAAAATTGGTGAGTCTTGATGCCAAGGAAGTACGTCATAATTCAATATCAGAGTTTTAAAAATTATCAGGCATGTAAACCGACCAAAGAACTGGAAGGACCGTAAAACTGATTGCCTGACAAAATAAGATTGTTTGAAGACATCTTTTGGTTTGCTTTTCTTTCAATTTGCTCA